TTATATTACTACTAATAGCTTAGTTTATTTATAATAATATAATAAGAGAAAGTATTAAGGAATCCCTTTTCTACTTTAACTATAAATTTAAACTTACTACTTATAGAGAACTTTAAATAGAACTAGCTATAATAAAAGCTATTACTTTAGTATAATAAATTAAGGATATCTAAGAAAATATATATAAAAAACTTAAATTTATATAATAATAAATAACTAAATTTAGTAATAAATAAAAGATTAAGGGACTAACTTTAAAAGAGGAAAATAATACTTATTTTATATAATAAAATATTAAAATAAAATAACTAAATAATAAACTTAATTATAAAAAACTTAAACTTTTTAAAATCTTATAAGTTATTTTATTAGTTAATTATAAGCTTAAACTTTTAAATATTATAAAATATTACTTAGTATTCTATATTTTACTATTTAAATTAGCTTTATAAAGATTATAAATAAGTAATATTATTATTATAGAGAATAATAAGCTAGAGTATAAAGTTAAATATATTATTAACTACTTTAAAAAACCTAAAAAATATTAATACTTTATTAAATAGAAATAATATAAATATAAAGATAATATATAGGAACTAGCTAAAAATATTACTAATATAATAAAAGAACTTATAATCTATTAGTAGTAGTATTAAGAATAAGAAGTAATACCTATATTAAATAAATTAATTCCTCTAATAAACTCTTTAGGTTACTAATAAATTAGATATCTATATAGATATATTAAACTACTAATAGAAATAAATAGATTATAATAAAGAAAACTATTTATTTAGTTAAGAATATTAGAATATAATTAAAACCTCCTTAATAAGAAATTTAAAGTATTAAGATTCTAATTAAGGATTAAATCTAAGTTTATTATACTAAAGCTACTTATTAACTAAACCTCTAATATAAGAGATATTACTAACTTCTCTTTTATAACTTCTTAACTTTTTTAGAAAACTATTTTTTTCTACTTATATAAATAATCTAACTATACTATAGATTTATCTAATTTAGTTTATATAATATATAAAGTAATAGCTTTTTTTTATAATACTTCCTCTTTAACTACTTTTATATTTTCTAAATAAATTACTTTATTTAATAGATAATTAATTATAATAAATTAATAATATATATAAAATATAAAGAGTATAGAGATATATAAGTATAAATAGTATTTATTATTATATTATAAAACTACTTTAAATAAGTATACTTACTATAAATCTTACTACTTAGAAGAAGTTTATAATATTTCTCTATAAAATAATAATAAGAATAAGGTATATTAATAATAAAACTAAACTTAGTAATATATAATATATAATTATAATAATAAAGAGTAGAAGTAGAACTTAATTTTAATTTTTAAATATAACTTAATATAGTATTAGTATTATAAGTAAATTAAGAAGTATAATTAATAAATCTCTAATTTAAAACTAATAATTTATTTATATTAAGTCTTAAAAATAAAACTTTTAGAGAGGGGACTTAATATTATAACTTATTATATAAAAATAATAATTAATTAAACTACTTAAGTATTAAGTAACTAAGATAAAATATTTATACTATAAAATTATAGGAATAATAAGAACTTATTTAGTATAAAAGAATTATAGTATAAGTTATATAATAATAAAATAAAGAAATAGTTAGTAGAATATAAAATAAGATACTTAGTAATTAGTTAATATTACTAATTAATTATAATTACTTTATATACCTAAGTAATTACTTCTAAGTAAATAAAGAATATTATCTAAGATTTATATATAATATAACCTAAGTTTAACTTAAGGTTAAACTCCTATAACTCTTTAGTAATTAACTTAATACTTATCTTTAAAATACTTTTAGCTTATTTTTATTATAAAATACTTATTAAGTTTAAGATTAATTACTTTAGTCTCTAAAAACCTAATCTACTATAGCTTATAACCTTTAACCTAAACTATAACCTAGTATACTATTAGAACGTATTAATCCCTAGCTTCTATTAGTAGACCCTACTGTTAGATAGCTGACCGTAACAGTTAATAAAGTGCGCCTCTAGGCAGCAAACTGCGAAGAAGAAAACTTAGAAGGGAAGAAAGGACACTGGAGCTAAAGACCCCTTGCCGCGGAGCTCCATCGGTGGGCTGATCACCTCGAGGAGAGCATTGTAGCTGGTGAACCGAACAAGGGCGTTCGAGCCCTGCTTCAGAGTCACCGGGAGGATGCCACGGAAAAGCCCTCCGAGGCCCTCCATGGCTACGATACTTCTGATCGCATGGCTTGTCGACTTGAATCGTCTAGCGCCAGCTCTGTCTTCTACAATCTTGGTTTTGATGTTCTCGCCAGGGGTCACCACTGTCACGCTCTCGGCCACGCCAGCCGCGACACCGGCAAGCATATTGGCAACCTTGGTTGGCTTCCCTGTTTGGGCATCTTGCGGGAGCTTGTTCCTGATGGCATCGAATGTAAAAAATCGTACGCCTGACTTGGATGCATTTGAGACACAGAACGCACTGGCCCCCGTGTACAGCACGCCAGGTCCAGAGGTCCGTACGGCTGAGACGAGAATTCGTAGTGGAGATTCGGATGAACTCAGCAGTTGTTTTCGCGTTTTGATGTACTCTGTAGGATACTTGACTCAGGTTAGCATAGTAGAGACTTTGTAATATGTTTGCAATCACTAGAAAAGCGAGACCGAGTTTACATACCGTGACTAGAGACTCTACTCCCCCAGCAGCTGCACCAGCAACCACAGATTGCAAGGGTGTCGGAGAGGTGTTACTGCGACTCATCGTTGATACGCCAATAACAATCAATCAAGCCAAGAGGTCTATCATACAGACAGTGAACTGATCATCGCAGGCCGCAGGCGTGCGCCTCTGGGCAGTCTTACATAGTCCAGCGGTGCACATTACTGGACTGCCCCGAAAATACATGAATGAGACCGGGTGTTGCCAGGCAGGAACGATCCGTGAGCTTCGGCACGCATCATGAACCCGTGAGAGGCGGAGCTCCGTCCGTCTCCCTTAGACATTGATGACACTCGGTGTGTTCGTAATCTGCCGGGAACATGACGGAAGTGACTTACACCCACTTCGTACACGACTAGACGACATCTGCGTAGTCAAAAAAAGACTAAGATGCCATGGTTCGAAGTATCCTCGTGGCGGCGCTAGGGCGGGAACATGGGATGGAGGAATCCGCGCATCGCACGGAATCCACGCGTTCCACGGAGTTTGGTGTGGCGCAGGTGCCTGGAGCTGGGAGCTATCCGCCTCATTGGAGTAGTCCGCCTGTCAGGGAGTAGTCCGAGACATATCGGAGCCATCCGTCTAACACGACGGACTACTCCTTGTAGGATCATCATCATCATCACCATCTCCACTAGCAAACTGGCGTGACGATTCCGTCGCGTGAGATGGGAGGAAATATTTGCAAGTTGCCAAAATATGCCCGCGGGATACTGCCGGTTGTTCGGGGTCGACCTTCTGGTGCCGAATCGGAAACCGACGCAACAATGTGTATAACAAGCGAATCATCGTTGGATCGGTGGCTCTCGGTGCTATCGTTCTGAGCCAAGCTTCGAAGATAATACACCGAAGAGCTGCAGACAACATCCACAATGGCCCCTTCAGCTACAGTGACCGAGGGAACTGAGAGAAACTTGTTTCCTCACGGTGGATGGGACACTCATCATCACATTTTTGAACGTAAGTCTAAACACTCTGGAATCATCATAGACGGCTTGCGATAAGGCGCACGCACGAGAAGGTTATACTAACAAATACCCGTCGTCATAGCCGAGTCGTTCCCTTACAGTCCAAACAGGCACTTGACACCGCCTCCTGCGACCGTTGCTGCCTTTGACAACTTCAAGAAAAGTCTAGGAATCACCAGATCTGTCCTCACCCATGGCCTATCCTACGGTGATGATTGCACCTCTCTGAAGGCCTTTGTGCCTCGCCTGGGAACACAAAAGACGCGTGCGATCGGTGTCATAGACCCAGAAACGACCACCGATGATGAATTGAGGGCAATGCATGAAGCTGGTGTTCGGGGGCTTCGTGTCAATCTGTACCGTTACAAGGCCATGGAAGATGTCGAACTACAAAAGGTAGCTCTTCGAGCTCACCTCCGAAGAATCACTGCCCTTGCGTTGCCCTGGAGCCTCACGATGACTACAACCCGGACCGACTTTTGGGAGGAGTTGGAACCATTTGTGAGGGAGAATCTTGCAAAACATGGAGTCAAGCTGGTAACAGATCACTTCGCGCTCCTAAAGGCACCAAGTCTGCTTTCAGAGGAGTATCGCGACCGGCCAACGACACAACCAGGGTTCGACGCCATCATGAGGCTGGTCAGAGACGGCCACCTATGGGTGAAGCTGAGCGCGCCATACCGCATCAGCGAGGAGAAGCCGGACTACTGCGACGTCAAGTTCTTGGTGCGCGCACTTGTGGACGCCAACAAGCATCGTGTTCTCTGGGGCAGTGACTGGCCCCACACGCCGCGCATGAAGGTGAGAACACACGAGGCGGCTATGAAGGAGACGCCGTACCTGGAAGTCGACGATGCGGCTTGGCTGCGGAGTCTCAAGTCATGGCTGTCGGACGAGGAATGGGACCTGCTGATGATACGAAACCCGAGTGAATTATTTGGATGATAGAGCGCACCGTAGAGTATAGAACTCAGATTAATTATGATTACTTCTGTGCTGTAGTATTTCGCATCTCGCATTGCCCCCACAGTTGCCTATCTACAGAAATCGTAACGGGCAGATGCGACATGTGGCAACCCCTGAAAAATACCCCTTACCACTATTTTACACCAGTCTCGACAACTTTACCGGGACTAAACTCGATACACTAACACAGCAATTTTGCCGAGAGTAAAATGATTCTCTTCAACCATCTTAGGTTTCACTCATGAAACATCGCGTATCTTAATTTGTACCTACTATACTCCGGCTGTAAATGACCGGCTAATTATTTGTCCTTACGCACGTTCTTGATCAGGTCACCCATCGAGGCACCCTTTCTCAGCTCAACAAACATCTTCTCGTCGACCTCGGCTCGCTCCTGGCACAGAGCGACAACTTTTTCAACCAATGAGGGCGGCGTCACCACGACACCATCCGCATCCCCAATCAAGATGTCGCCAGGATTGATCCAGAGATCACCCTTGAATTGAAGAGGGACTTTGACCCTCGACGCCCGCGTGAATGTGTTCGAGCCCAGAATAGATGTACCCTGGGCAAACACCTGCCGATGTCGTTAGTAGAGTTTACACTACGGGAATCGTTGGATTAAGCCGGACGAGAAACAAGCTCTTCGCGTTCGCTTAGACTTACCGGGAATCCCATCTCATTGTGCTCTCCGACATCCCTCATTCGCCCGTCAATGACCACGCCCTGTGCACCCAGAAACTTGGCCCGAGTGGACATCAAACCGCCCCAGCACGCGGACGGGAGGCCCTTGGGTTGCTGGATGTACATGACGCCACCTTCTTCATTGTGGTCGACGAAGTGCTTGTCCAGCTTCGGGGCCGAGGTGTCGCTGGTCTCGACCATCTGCACCGTTACTGCGGGGCCGAAAATGCGCGTGCCGGAGCCGGGGGAAAACATCCGGATTCCATCGAGGAAGCCACCCTGGGGGTACTTGAGCTTCACAAGGGCATCTCCGATCTTTACCTTTGTCAGAAACAAATCATGTTGCGAGTGAGGCTGCCTGGGCTACAGAGATGACCGCTGGTCGGGTTGAGCCCGGCGGCGTTGATACTTACGTCACATGCCGTGAACTTGCGGAGGGCTTCAAGGGCTCGAGAAGACATTGCAGGATCGGGTTGGGTAGAAATGACAATATACGCAAATGAAGCACGTGTATGAGATGCTGTAAGGTCAGAAGTTTGTCTTTGACCTTATGAACTGGCCAGTACGGCTACTGAATGTCGTGCAGCAGTCTCACAGCGGCGATGCCGGAGTTGTCCGGAAGCATCCCCAAAGCCTGTGAATGCGGAGGCATCGGGTGATACCCGAAAGCTCGGACCACATGCTCCCGAGTGTTCGGGGTTACTCCGTCAATGCCCTTGGCATCCCTTGCTTCTTTTGCGTGGGCATCCCAGGCTTCCGGGTGCCTCCATGACTCTGACAATATGCACAAAATCTAACAAGGGATCTCATGAGATGATGTTTTAAGGCTCCGAAATAGGCAATTGCCTATCCTGATTATCCTCCAACAGGGAATTGGCGCCGCGGGATATCTCGCTGTGCGTGTTCGGTGAGCTCGGTCTGACACGCGAACCCTGGCTCGCAACACGGCTACATCCGACAAACCCACACACACCGGGACACACCATATGGCACAGGAAGTCAAAGATAACTGCCGAACAAGCATACGTCAATTGAGTTTTTCTCACTAAATTGTTTCGCAGCCCTTCAATCACGTGGGGCGCAGGTTGCATGCCACCAGCCCATATGAACATCGCTCAACACCACAACCACGCATCACAGGAGCGAAATAAAGAACTACGATGCGTCCAGGGACAAAAAGGGATGACCCCAACCCGATTTGAACGGATAACCTTTCGATATCAGCTCAGAAACGGTCGCAGGACAGAATCTGGAGTCGAACGCGCTACCGTTGCGCCATAGGGCCGATGTGATCCATATCGTGGATCCCGGTGGATGCTGAGGGCGGGGACAACTCCAGGATAGGAAGGCCAGCTCTGCGGAACATAGGAAGAGTTGTTGTGAAGAGACAGCAACTAGTTGTCACGGTTGGTGCTCGGCTGCTACTCTCAAGAAATTTTGCCAAGTGTGGTGATGCAGAATGTTATTTCTCTTCGATTCAATGCTGTGACATGCGTTTGACTCGCCAAATCATCTTCCTGCACCTTAGATACACTGGGTCCCGCAAAGTCTCAAGCTCTCAGCTAGACTGTCTCTTCTTGTCATGCTCCATCCACCACCAGTCCGGTCTGTATTGGCGGTGAGGATACAAACACCGAAAGCTACACATCTCCGGCAGCTTTCTGTACACCTCCTTACCATCTTCAAATGCAAGACTCATGTGATGGTGTTCAATGTGCACTATCACAAGCGCCTTGCAGCCCAATACAGTGCAAATGTGTTGTAGCAAGATAGGGCGAGGATGTACGTCGCCACCACTGAAATGGACAAGGTGTTCCTCAGAGGACCGAGGTAAAGCCCTGCAGTCCAGAGACTTGGCTCTCTGTGTCAGGGAATCCCATACTTGTGAAACTAAAGAATTCCACAAATCTGCCGTGTTGAGCGGAAAGTGATGGCCGTTGCAAATAAACTCCACCCGACAATTCGTCCTAGGCTGAAAACCATCGGGGATCCAATCGTCGGTCTGGTCTGATTGTGAAACTTGCAGAATTTTGAGCAATGGTAGACGAAGAAGTCGATTGAGAAACCGACCACCTGAGCCGTGGCTCAAAAGGATACGCATGGAATTAAGGCGCGTGTCTTCTGCTGCAAAGATTTGAATTACCAGTCGTTCCAGGCGGGCCGCGCACTCAACGAGGTCTTGCGCCAGAGCGAGTCCATCGTCCACAATCACCATCTGAGGGATTTGCAGCCGAAGAAACCTAACATTCTCGAGCAATGCAAGACATGTTGGATGATGAATGCATTCTTTCCAAGAGGTCACGCCCTGGCGCCTGAATTGTCCCACGCTGTGGAACCTGGTTTGTTGCAAACGGCTTGGTGGTAAATTGAACGCGACGACGAAGTAGTTTCGATCACATACGAAGTCAATAGCGTCGACTCTGAGCTTCTGACATGTCCAGAAGAGACTGGATCCAAGCTGATGTTTCTGGTGGTGCTCAAATAAAAGCAGAATTGTGGAATGCTGTGGCAATAGTCCGTTCTCATATATCATGTCACGTAGCTCTCGGGGGAGTCGAAGTATGTTGCAAAGCTGGGCTGCCACAGACACAGCCGGTGCTGCCGCCTCTTTGCGCGCGTGTCCTGAGTCGGCTCGTGCAGGCATGACGGCCATGACAGTTGGTATGCAAGATGTTCCGAGTTGTACTCCTGATGTCTGATGTGATAAAAAAGGTGCGACCAAAGATTTGAGAGCCACCTTCGGGCAGTAATAATTTCATTTTTTACGTATAGGAGAAATTGAAAAGCCCGGAAATACGCTGCTTTAACTGTCCTTGCCGCCTTTCAAAGATGAGACTATGGGAGCTGCGGGATAAATGTAGAACTGCAGCTATGGGTCGAACTGCAGCAATGGCAACTTGGCACAACGAAATAGCACAGAACAACCCAACTCCAATCGATACTGTCTCACACAGAACAATGAAGGAAAAGCAGCAACAACACCGACAGTTGAAGAGCATAGCAAATTTAACTTGCAACGAAAATGATCATGACAAAATTCATTCAACCATTATTGACTATTACCTCTTTCAAGCTCGCTAGGTCTCAGACGATGCGGAGCAGCATCTCATGGCTCCTAAAATTACGCATGATCGTTATGATACCGTCATCAAAGCACTTTGATAGCCTCTTTGACAACTTGCCAAACATCTCAGAAGCCAGATAGAAGGTCACTACGGACCCCCGGCTTCTCGTCATCTTCAACCCAACCCATGCATGAATTCCCCGGCCATCCTGCAGAGGCCGATGAGCGACGGCATCAAGTACTCTCTGATACGTCTTCAGAGCCTTTTCATCAGCAGTCCCCAAGTAGGTCTCTATCCGGTTGCGGATCTCAGCATCATCGGAGGCGTAATCATGAACAGGGAAGTACACTGCCACCTCTGACTTCACGTCCTCACCGTCCGCAATGAAACTGAAACAAGTCATCGGCCCCTTGCCCTCGTATGGCCCCTCAGAACCATCACTCAGAACGGTACAGAAATGGAGTATTTCGGGATCAGATGCACCAACAATGTCGGGGCCAACGATGGAGGCCGCCTGCGATAGATCCGCGGCCGTTGCGCCGAAATGCTGCACGTAAATCTTGACTCGGGCTTGAGAGCCAGGGCACAGATCCAGTGAAAGATACATGAGCTTGTTCCCTGGCAGTAAGACTTTCTCAAGAGGAGCCCAAGCTTGTGGCATACAAAGTTTGTTGAGGGCTTCGCGGACAACTGCTGGGGCCCGGGATTCTCCCTGAGCATTGGCGTTCAGGTAGATCTTCCATCCCGGACGAGGGCCTTCTTCAGCAACAAAGCTGTGCCACCCTACAAAGGTTCCTTGTGCTTCCGCCCCTGAGGGAAAGAAGGTATCTTTGATATGGTTGAATCGATCCAGAGAGACTGCATTCGGATGTATGCGTTGTGTCTCATTATTTAGTTGCAAAGCGCTTCGTTGGTGGGCCTCAAGAGTTGCCTCATCTGCCTGGTTTTCTATGAGGAAGCGTAGCTGAGCTTTCCCGGTCGCCTTATCAATGGCAACGGAGTACTCGAATGGACAAAGATTGAGGCTTGCATCCGACTTCCACCCGAAAGGTGGCTCAGATGCTGGCAGATGACCCCAGCCCTGCATGGGTACATCGAAAGCATGATAGAACATTTTCAAAGCTTGATCATCTAGATGAAGAGCATCAAAAAGCTTTTGGATGTCGTGCCAGGCCTCGCTCTTGAAAGTTCCAACATCGGTCGGGGAGCTCAACCCCGAGAGAACGGGGACAGGTTGCAACCCGCTCTGGAACACTCTCATCCTTAACTCTTTTCCTCGGGTGATCCTCACTCCAGGGATACTATGGCGTCTTTGGTGGAGCTGCGATACGGCGGCAATGGTGTATTCGATGTGTCTATCCGACATCACGTACCGCGGGACGGCGAACCGGACCAAATTGGGAATGTTGTCTCTGTCTTGCGTAATGCTTTCTTTCTTGTCCCACTCCCACCCGAAAGGACCAGCTTCACATGCTCGGATGCCATAGTCTTTGAGCAGCTCCAAGGTGAAACCGACGGAGGCGAACTCGCCGTAAGACCTCCCACAGTCGGCAAAGAAGCCATCCATATCGAGATAGATAGCATGGCCGCCGGGTGGCAGGAGAACAGGAACACCTTTGGCGATCAAGCCCTCGGCGAATTTCTTGACTTGGCCGATTCGGTCGGCTAGGTACGTCTCCTTGGTGACCTCGTAGAGCCCGACAGCGGCAGCCATGACATCGCGACCGCTCATACCCCCGTAGGAGTCATTCCCGTAACACATGATCTGTCTCTCCTTCAAGCGAATGCCGATGTCTGCACCGAATCTTATCGGAAAGATGCCCTGGTCTCGGAAACATAGTGCACCACCCATATTCGCCAGGCCATCCTTCTTGAGAGAAATAGTAAAGCCGTCTGCGTACGCAAACATCTCCTGGACAATCTGTGGGATGCTTCTGTCCTGATATCCAGCCTCAAAGTCCTGGATGAACTTGGCATTCTCTGCAAATCGGCAGGCGTCGAAGAAAAGGGGCAAGCTATGTTTCTTTGCTAACTCAGCTGCAGCTTTGATGTTGCCCATGGAAACTGGCTGCGCTCCGGCCCAATTGTTGGTGATTGTAAGTAGAAGCATGGCCACGCGGCTAGCATTCCCACCAGCACCAAGGAATGCCGACACCTTCTCGATGTCCAGGTTCCCTTTGAACGGATTTTTAACGCCGACCTGTTCGGCTGGGAAGGGGTCGGTGAGCCCGGGCTGAGTGAATGTGTGCAACTGAAAGCCAGCCGCCGCAGCGTTCGCAGCCGTGGCGTCGAAGAATGCGTTACTAATAAGAGCTGGCAGATTACTGACGTTGCGGGGATCGGTGTCGATGTTACACAGTGTGTCGCTCAAGGTAGAGAAGAGCAATACTTTGGCACACCGCCCCTGGGGCAAAATGAAAAAGTTCGGACGGATAAGCTGGAGAGGGCCGCCATTCACGAATCCGCCACAGATCTCCTTGAGAAATATCTCGCGGTAGAAAGTGCTGTCAGCTGTGCCGGCAAGGACATCTTTGAAGACAGATCGATGATCTTCACCACGCTCGAAGACATCGCGGAAGGCCTCAAGGAGGCAGTAGTAGCCTGAGTTGCGGCCATAACTCTCATCACCCCTGAGCATCGCTGCCCACTGAACATCAGTCATGGCCGAGGTGCCCGAATCGGAGAGATAATCGCAGGTGAGGAGGGCTGCGGGGAAGACAAAGACATTGTATTCGACGGAGCGTAAGACTTCCTCACGCTCTTCAGAGGTGATAGCGATGTGCGGGTGAACGACCAGGATATTATGAGAAGGGGCAATAAGGGAGACATGCTGAGAGTAGGCAAGATTTTGTCCACGGAGTGTTTGTTTGAACTTATTTGACAATGTAGGGTAAGCTCTCGAAACTAAGGGAGACGGGATAAACCGGCCAGCTTCGTATTTATGGACAATGTCGAACCGTCCCCACTCCTCCCTTCCTACCCTACCTGATAGCTTTTCAGCTCGATGGAGTGGACTTCCAGAATTTCTTCCAGCAAACCTCGGTGCCTTCTCAATGCATTGAAAAGCAACTTGAGGTCCCAATACGTCTTGGTTTGCTGCTATGGGGTCCACTTATCATATTCAAAGGGATGTCGGTATCCGCACCACACCCATTCTTGATAGTGACAGCAGGCCATTTGGAGAAGGATACTTGGCATCAGCGACAAGACAACAGTGCGAGTACAAAATATAAAAACATGCAATGACATTGCCGATGTCTATTGTGATTGGCAAAAGTCATGTTCTATCGCTTACACACGGGGTACTTGATCTCCCGGCTACTACGTCTCCAAACCAGGTGTAAGCTAAAGACGACCTCTACCATGCCCCGGTTTCCACCTCGTCATCGCATACTCATCTGTATTAGACACATCAAGCTATAGTCTCTTCATGCTCTCAGTAGATGTGTACGGTCCGTGATCTTGCAGCCAGTTTCCGTTACCAAGACTACAAGGACATTCACACTTCACGGTTTGGTTCAGGATGTGCAAAGCTGAAATGTGACCTACCCATGTCATTGCGCAAACATGCAAGCGTCAGACGGGCGACTTCTCTCTCCGCTAACGGCGAGGATTGTACCGGCAATAAAGAGTAGTCATATTCGGGGGCTGTTGTCCGAAAGCAGTAACTAGCATGGAGTCAAAAACGTGGGGTCAATCCGTGCCGCATAAATACACTTCAATATTTGATCATTGTTGTATGCAACAAAAGTCACTTACTTGGGCTGAAAAGTTTGATTGGATGGAACGAAGCAGTTTCATTGTGCTTGAACGCCACTCGACTGCAGTCTGCCGTTGATGACTGCATACGCCGACGCCCGGATTACTGTACGGCCACCTCAAGTTCCTAGCGGAGTCTCCCGAGGCGACATTGTGTGTTTGCAAGACTATTAGAAGCGTCGCGCCTCAAGCTGCCGATCGAGCAAGCTGAGAGTGATGATAAGTTGATGGACACTACGTACTTCCAATCTGGGCATGGTCAAAGTCACGGAGTGAATGGCTGCAAAAGGTCCCTGTTTGACTACTGCTCATTTACGCGAAGAATCTACCAGTGATCTCACTGTTCGTCTGGTGCCGAGAATCGGTAGTAAAGATGATCCCACCCATCCCCATGGTCTACCTCAAGCTCAAGAAGCTCCTTGTTGATATCGAAGTCCCTAATGGCACCTTGAATAGCCGACGAGAAGATGGTCTTGCCAACAGTCTCCCAACATTTCTTGCGCTCAGGTTCCGTTTCGGTGCTGGTGACCGTGAATGAATCCGTCTCTTTGAGCTTCAAATCGGTACGGCAAGAGGCTAGGGCTTCTTGCATGTTGGTGTTACTGATTTTCGATCCCATCACGGTCTTCAGCTCGGAAGGCTTGAGACCAGTCATCTCCCAGCACGCCTTGAGAACCTGGCGCATTTTCAGTCGAGGGTCCGTCTTGTCGTCTCCGTTCATTGCCTTCATGACGGTCAGGCGTTTGGACACCGTGTTGACCATGAGGGTATCAACGGGCAACACCTTGCCATTTGCGTCCTTGGCTGTGTAACCATCTGCGTACACACTGAAGCCCCATCGCCCCTCTTCTTTGTTCTCTTCGGCGTCGACCGCGTATGCAGAGTTTCCCTACAGCAAGGTAGTGTTAGCTGCCTTGATTCAAAACAAAGTGGAAAAGATGTCGGGCATGCTTACAGCAAAGGGTCGAACAGGTTGTGCAGAGAGCTATTCACAGGCGTCAGAGAATCATTCACACTAGAAGCAGCACCTCAAACTATGCTGTCTGGGAGTTTCAGCAACTGACCAGGGTGACCAAGGAACCCAGAAGAAACAGAAGTGCGGAAAAACGACGGGAAATCATCTTGAAAGAGCGACTTTATAAACAGATTGAATATGTCATGTAAGCAAAAGCGCACAGGCGAATTGCAAAAACTAAAAGAGAGTAATTGGATGAAAAATATCCGAAGCGGTGGGATGCTGGTGACAGCAAAGTTCTAAGCTGGCTTTATTATATGATGTCCTTTGCGATTGCGAGAAAGTCGCACAGCATACGGAGTCGCCGACTCATGTAAGTTCATGCAATTAGTTGTGCAGCCTTGGCCGACCCACGGGTCACCCCTCTGATCAGGGACCAAGCCACTTTATGCAACTGACTCGCAACTCAGTCTGCACCAAAAGAATTAGGTACAGTGTGGGTCTGCATTGGGGGATAAAGAATCTAATCTGTTTAGCTTTGTGATTCGGATGAACCGAGCGTGCTGCGAGTGTTCAAGTCAATCTAAACCTGTTGTCGATCAAACACCAAGTTTCTTAAGATAGTGTCAACGACCTTGCGGGAAAGGCGGGATTAGCAGGACCAGGCTCTACAGGTAACATGACGTTATGTAGCTGTTTATAAGTTTAATATGTTTAAGTGATACTTTCACAGGGGCCTGCCTGTCCGTCAAGTGGAAGTGGAATGTATATATTCTCTTTTGCAGCACCCCAACTTCCCATCTCACCCCAGCTGCTTCCCAGTTTCTTCAGCACTGTCGTTCACTCTTTTTCTTTTTAGTCACTCACTACGTTTCCAGCAGAAATGTTGCGTCACTCATTCAAGTCACTCATTCTTCTGGGACTGACCTCCCTCGCCTCTGGGAGCGTTCTTTATGCCCGTGGTGAAGATATTGCCGTTGGAGGCAAATGGAAGGCTCACGACCAGGTCACTGCCTTTCAACAACAAGCTTCAGACGGCATCGAGGGAGAGATCGAGTTGCGGTTCAAGCCAGGTCTGAACGATGGAAGCGGTTGCTTTCCGTATGCCGCTGTCGACAAGGACGGCTTCCACGGGTATGTGTGCAATGAACTATTCTGTCAACGCATTGCGAACGATGTTTTGACTGACTTCTCCACCAATCTAGCGAGGGACTGAGGCCCACAGGAAAGAGCGGCGGCGATTGCCGCGATGGTACCAAGGGTCAGCTTTACGCCAGAGTGGGAACTTCCAACGGTCGGACCGGTATCTTGTACTCGTGGTACCTGCCCAAGGTCCAGAACGCCGAAAAGCACAAGCACTATTACCTGACCACCGTCGTCTGGGTTCACTCGGACAAGTGTGACCCGGTGGCGGACGACTACCGCGTCGTTGGAGTCAGCTACTCTACCGGCAAGGAAACCTACGACACGTCAGTCAGTGGTCAGACGCTTTACAGCTCTGGAGACAGCGGTTCTGGCCCTGGCAACACCCACGCCATCGTCGGATATGACGGTCAGATGAACGTGTTTCCCTCCAAAGACGGCGCCGATTACGCCCTCAACCCCCCAATGATCAGCTGGAAAAAGCTATCCCAGCCGGCCTCAGAGCAGTTCAACGGCGTTCAGTACGAACATGCCCGATGCCCTTTCACCGACAACAACATCCAAGCCTCTCTGGACGCTGCTTTCAACGCAAACTTTTACACTGGCTTGGCCCCCGAGGCTGATAACTGCAACGCGGCGGATACTCCGACACCGTCAACACCCGCTACCCAGCCTGAGGAGCCCGTCTCGTCGTCTCCTCCTGAGGCGACTCCTTCAACTCCTTCGACCCCAACGGAGCCCGCAAGCGATCCTACCACCTCAACCCCCCCGACTCCTTCAACGACTGATACCGGCGATGATGATCTGATTGAGGACGGCCCGGAGATTGCTGCTTCCAGCCTGCCAGCAGACGCTACCTACACACCAACCCCTTGAAATCTTCCGCATGTATTCGAGGAGAAAAAGAAGTACAAGCGGGCGTTGTAATTGGTCGTTGTAGTTTTATAAATACTTTAGTTCATGAGGAAAGGAATACTGTATGCCTTCAAAGCCTTTGATGCTTCCAATGTGACTTGCTTATTCTACACCTTTTGAACCATAGACTGAGTAAGTATGTGTCTCGATGGGGCGACTCAGTTCCCTTCACGCTCTTGAGACATCGTCTCACGAATGAAGCCTGCAACCCCATCGCGATTGCACGTCAATGCACGATCTAAAGCTGTCTCCCCTGAGGTTGTCCTTGCGTTCACATTGACCCCAGCAGCCACCAGCAATCTCGCTTTTGCCTCTGATTCTCCATCCTCACCCAGATATGGGGCATCTGGGTCCCCCGCAGTTAAATGTAGAGCCGTTTCTCCCTTTTTGGTCGTGGCGCTCAAATTAGCACCAGCAGTAATAAGCCTTTGCAAGTGTTGTGCAGTGCCGTACGCCGCGGTCTCATGCAGTGGAGTTGCTCCATCGTCGTTTACCGCCTCTAGATCGCCACCGCACTTCAGAAGAACGTCAAACAGCCATTCGGAATTTCTTGGCAGATGCAGAAGTGTTGTGCCAAATTGGCCACGAAGAGAGGTGTCCGCTCCCGCCTGAATGAGGAATCTTGTTGCAGCTGGGGAATCGGATAGAGCATGGTGCAACACAGTGTTTCCGTTGTTGTTGATCGCGTTCATGTCAGCACCAGCATCCAAAAGTACCTGAATAATGTCCAGAAGCTCGTGTGAAGCAGCTATATGCAGGGGTGTGTTTCCGTAACAGTCTTTGGCTGATACGTCTGCGCCCGACTCCACCAGTAGCTTTGCTATTTGCATATTTCCAAACAAGGCCACCACATGTAAGGGTGTCTCGTTGTCGATGTTGCGTGCGTTGATGTCGGCTCCGGCGTCCAGAAGCAACTCGGTTGCTGCTACTCTTCCGCCAGCAGCAGCATTATGCAGAGGTGTCACTCCATCGCTCGTTGCAGCAGATGGATTGGCGCCGGCTTGCAGCAGGGCTGTCACGGCCCCTTCACCTCCCGATTGAACCGCAAGATGAAGCGCTGTCCAGCCTCTCGCGGTCACAACGGCGGATAGATCAGCCCCTGCCGATATGATCCCTTGAAGGCTTCTGATATCATCGCCAAAAGCCGCTTGGTGCAAAGGGTCGTTGGGAAATACAGGGGGTGCAGCTGGTTTAGCCGCGCCACATGAGGCACACGAAGCACCTGGGTTGTCGGACATGATGAGCGAGTGCGAAGAAAAAAACAGAGAGAAAGAGACAGAAGTCCTTTGGTATTAATAGAAGGCTGAGTCGAATAAAATAGTTGCATGAAATTGACATTTTAGATCAGACATCTGTTCAGCAGACGAAGCACGTCCCTTAAGTACAAGTGGTCGGCTTTCTCTTGACTCATGTTGCTGAACACCATACCTAGCGCGGATGGTAGCCTGCGAGTGCCTAGGCAGTATTTCAACGAGAATTGCACGACTATCAATGTAAATGGGCCCTATTCATCGATTCTATGAGGGTGAACGCGTGAACGATCGCGACAACCAGGAGACTAAACCGAAGATGCAAGAGGCGAACAGCTGGGGACCCCTGGCATATGGCTGCTAGCGCCCAGGCAGCAAGCTCAGTACGTACCTGAAATAGTTCAGGCTCCCTTGAGAGTGCTTGTTTGAGGCATTTGAACAACATAGTTTATGTGCCTTTGGGCGCGAAATCTTGCTAACCAAAGAAACCAGAGAATTGGCCAGAGAAGAAAATGAAAAGGATACGTATGATGAACACACGTCTAAGAGTAGCCTCAACCATGTTTAACGGGCCAACGTTGTCATCCATTTACCCTGATTCCATGAGAAGCCAGTCAATTGGTGCAGCAATATGTGTGATCTAATTCCCAGCGTAAAAACCTCTCTCATGCGAGGCGACCATACTCAGAACAATTTGATAACAATATGCGACGATCCAAATGTAGGCTTGTTGTTGAGCGAGACCCCGCCATTCCCAGTGCTGTTTACCAATCAGACAAGCCAGATACCTGACAGTATTGAGGGTCAGCTTCTGGATTCAGTTGACGGAATCATACGGAGTAAGCTTTGAGCTCGAAATTGCAAAGAAGGGTTTCCGATACGAATACAACTAGTTTTTGCTTACCTAGGTATACATGCACGTAGGCTTTTAGTGACGAGGTAGTGAATGCAGATACCTAGGAAAGAATGAACTCCCTCCGGAAACCAGATGTTATGATACCCCCCTAGCATTGGTTGAGGTGATGTCATAGGCGTAAAACGACGTTCCCAACGCATTGGGGCGAGTCCAAAATTAAAATGCTTCACTTGGCTGCTGGCAGGTCTTGTCTTGGCGACCAACAACGGCGGGCAAGGTGCATTCAAGTGTTCCCAGTCCGCCTTGCGTTGTCATTGGCTGGCACCCACCGCCCCTCTTCAACCAACATCGACTGTGCCGCTCAAGATGACTTGGCTGTGCCAACAGCAGGTGCCAAGGATTTATCAACCTCAAACAACCCGTCTATCTCCATCTTCTTCTCAACCCCTCATTATTGACGTAAGCAATTCGAACCGTTGCGTTTCTGCTCATCCGGCAAGCAGGAGTCCAAGAGCACATTCTACCGCCGATTGATCGCCATGGTGAGATCCAACGCCATAGGGCGTCCGTTGCTGTGACTCCAGTCCTCACGCTGCCGGAGGCCCCTCCCGGTGTGACTCAATGCTAATCACTGATCGAGACTGGCTCCTACCAGACCTTCACCACTTCTGCGACTACATCACACAAACCCTCCTCGAGACAGACCATTGTCAGGTGTCATCAGAAGCAAGACAAAATGATGACATCGATTGAAATCATCGGCTTCGTTAGCGCCGTCGCCGACTTCCTCGACTTGGCCGCCGAGAACATCACAGTCGCCCAGGAATTCGGGAATTCAGGCTCCGCTACGACGAAGGCCGACGTCGACTTGGAGCGCCGCATCAAGTTGCTCGACGAACAGATCAATGCCGTTCATCTGAGCGGGCCGGAATTTGCAACGGATGGCCATGAGGCCAAGCTGCTCATTCGTGTAGACAAATGCCACGATCTCACAGTGCGGCTTCTCTCGCTATTGAATGGATTCAACTCGGCCAAATATGTCCTAGGTAAGGAGGAAAAACAGAGTTCGATCGACGAATTGGAAGATTGGCGGTCAAAAGTTTATCTTCGAATAACAAAAGTAATAAGGTAAGTTTAGCAAGACTTGCAAAAAGTGACCTGAGAACTTTGTGCTGAGAGATTTACACAGACACGATCTGAAACGCCTTCTTCGCGACAGAGGCAACCTAGGGTACAGCCTGAGGGCAGACCTAGAGGCCCTGGAGCACAGAATTACGCCGTCGGATGGAGCTGGAGATATATATAACCTTGGATTCCTTGGAGTCATGCGCAACGTTTTCAGCGACTTCAAAACGTGTCTTGCCGAGTACGCGCAGAAGCAGATTCTTGACGAGCTGCGGGTTGATGGCATGAAAAACAGATTTGAAGAGGTCGAAGAGGCACACAAGAACTCCTTTGCTTGGATTCTAGACCCTGACTCACCCCTTGAAGAGGACACTTCCTTCGGTTCACAGGCACGCCAGCAGTTTGTGATGTGGTCTCTCTACGGGCACGGCATCATCTACATCTCTGGGAAGCCAGGGTCAGGAAAGTCCACTATTATGAAATATCTTTGCCAAAGCTCAAAGATGAAGAAGCATCTACGTGATTGGGCCGGTGAAAAGTCCTTGCTAATGGCGAGTTTCTTCTTCTGGCAGCTCGGGGCGGATATGCAAAAGTCTCTTGATGGTATGTGCCGTGGGCTGCTATTTTCGGTGTTGGAAGAAGTGCCGACACTAATACAGACTGTGTTTCCAAAACACTATCAGTCTATCATGAAGGAACGACCGCTGCAAGTCCGCTCTTCAGACCTGGACGTGGCTCTGAAATTGCTTCTCGACCAAACCAACTTTTTCACTTCGCACAAACTTGCGTTTTTCATCGACGGCCTTGATGAGCTCGACGGAGACCATGACCATCTGACGAAAATACTTCTCGAATGGGCCAGGAATTATGGAGAGAGTGTCAAGCTTTGTGTGTCAAGTCGAGAATGGAAGGTATTCAGAGAACAGCTAGCCGGTTATCCAAATATCCGGCTTCAAGACCTCACAACTCGCAATATCAGCAGCTACGTCAACCAAGAATTACTAGAAAACGAGGAGTTTCTACGTTATTCGAAAAAAAAGCCCCAAGATTCTGGAACTGGTAAAACACATTACTGAAAAGGCCGAGGGATTTTTCTTATGGGTCAAGATCGTGCTTCGACGGCTGAAATGGAGCATTCTTTCTGGAGACCAATTACAAGATGTCCAGAAGAGAGTTGACGCCCTCCCAAACGAACTCGAAGATCTGTACCAATCAATATTCGACTCCATGGGAAATGAAAGCCACAGCAAACTCGACAGAATGAGGGCAATGCGATCGCTTTTGACTGTCCTCCATTGCAACAGGGAACCAGACGATCACCACCCTCTGTGGCTATTGATCTCCTACTCGTTTCTCAACGACTACGAATACGACCAAGACTTTGCACTGAAGCTTCCGATTCAACCGATGCATCAAACTGTGTTAGACGAAAGACTAGAATGTGCTCGCCGATTGGTCTATCAAAGATGCATGGGAATGCTGGAGACATTTACCCTAAACACAGACGATAAGCCGCGTTATTCACCAGCTGGGCTTGACATAAAAGCGGTAAAGAAGCACTCGAAATGGGAATCCAGACCAGGAGATCCGAAGAAGAGGGTTCGTTTGGAGCCCGCAAAGAGCAGGAATGACGGCGACGATGGTGTTTGTGCCTTCGTTGATGATTACTACACCAATGATTCCCCCGATGGCGATGAAGAAGACGTTATCGAGGTTAGGAACGACGGAGACAACGCCAATCATCTGCATAGGAACGCAAAATACAAGGATGAGAGGAAAATCAATAACCAATTCCCATATCAGAAGGGAATCAGATGCATTCATAAGACCGTTCACGAGTTCTTTGCTCAAGCCCAGATTGAGACGATAATGCGCGCCGAATCAATGGGTTTCAACGAAGCGGACTTCAAGCTCCAGGCATTTCTCGCAATAATGAAAATCTTTCGTCCAAGCGTTCATTATGCAAGGAGACGCTTTCTCTTCGACTTTGAATCACTGGTCACCCACTACCATTCTATGCTGAGCCAAGTATCCGAAGCCCGTTTCCTGGCGTTTTTGGAGGAACTAGCTCGTGTTCTAGAACATCATGGAGCTGTCGTTGAACATATGTGGTCTCGCTTTATGGGTGGTGGCCTGACAAGAACGGTGCACCAGGCTTGTCGTCCAGCTTACAGTGAGTTGGTTCTACTAGCTGCAAAGATAGGCACCTCTAAAGGGCTTTGTTCTCTGAGCGGAATGCAACGCGCTCGCCGACTCCACCAAAAGAACAACATCCGGGATGTTGTTCTTGATACGTACTTTGACGGTGCGTTTGACTATTTCGACATAGAAAAGAATCACGAGAAAATGGAGAGAAGAGCGTATAAAGCGAGAATTTATCAGGAACTCGCTGCATACTTTGAAGCTGGAGCTTCTCCCAACGCCAGATCTGACCACGTAATACGCGGATGGAAAGAAACGCACAAAATGACTCTGACCTGTTGGCACATGTGGTTGAGGATGGTTTTGGGTCATGAAGATGATGCAGATCTTGCCGAGTCTTTCATCCAACTGTTCCTTCTGCACGGGGCCGACGCAAATATTTGGGTCCGAGTCGACGAGGAGTGGTGCAGTCTGTGGTGGCCCGGATTGGCCGGTTGGGTGGACATCTGCGCCACAAGCACATATGACGAGGACGAGGATCTCTCAGCTGAGAATGCCTCATTAGTGTACCATTTTGTCAAGAAGTACGAGGGCGGATTTCCTACCGAGCCGCTTGGAACGTTTCTTCTGGAATTATTTCCACGAGGCGGCCCCGAAATGAAGCGCTTGGCAGATCGGAACTTGGGTTCACAAAGAATGACGGAGCCATCATTCATGATGGATGATATTTGGTGAGCCCTGGAGGAATTCTTAATGTAAAACAGTAAGGTGGGCCACAACGGGTACGGCCAGGCTTTGGCTGAACCTACCACCACGGTAGTTGAAGTAACTTGAAGACTCGGGATGTGAGCCTCGCTGGCTGCGGAGACAGCTTCTCTCAATGTCTTCGATGAAAAGCTTGATGTCGCCAGCGTGGGTATAAGAGAGGGCAACTGTTGCGCTGGGCTTCGGTCATTCCTCTTCACACCTCGAACAAAACAAACCACGGCGATCTGCCACATCACCATGGAGTCTAGCATCTGAACAAGGGCCTCGGCAGAGTGCAGGCTCAACCCGATCGAAATCCCCACGCCGAAAGCCATCGACGAAGCGAAGAGATGGGGTATCTTCAAGAAAACCATCAGTCTCGAGGACCGAATGTCGCGCAGCGCATCAGGGAGCGAGCTGTCGCCGGAAATGAGATTGGGCACTCCCTCCTTGTCAGGGTACTATGGTGAGTTGATGTTGCTGTACAGGGTCTCGCATCCGGGTGGCGATTGAAAACCGGCGACTGCGCTTCGAAATTCTTGTTTGATGCTCTCCCTTGTGTACTTGTCTGCCTGGCCCCCGAAGTTTGTTCTTGGCAGGCTGAATCATCGTTCGGAGTGATTGTTCGATGTTGGTACCGGTATGCAGTGTTGGATCTTTTGTTTTCCTTCGTTGGGACCCCTTCAAGGGCGCCCTGAACGGCCCCCTTTTACCGCCGTACGGTAAGGTATGCGGGGTTGCGGCGCAGTAGATGGGGTTATGTAGTTCTCACCTCTTCATCGCACCCCCCATCCTTAAGCACAATACACGCCCCTGGATTCCGCATATTCTTCCCCGGCCTTGCAACAGCCTTTCCAACATAAAAAGCCCGACCTTGCGAACCGGAAGGCTCATTTGGGTGCAACTGAATTTGCCAACTTAACCCCTCTTTCCCCTTCTTAAATTCCACAACAAAAATGACCAACGAACACGACATCGACTTTGCGAAGTCGGGCAATATGCCCCCAGGGATGGCACCGATGAGTGATACTCGAATACAGTCCATTGAGGACTCTATGAAGCGCAGCAAGGAGTTCCGAGACTTGTTTCCTGACGTCGACTTTGGCGGAGGCGTCATCGAACCCACAGTCAACCTCACTTTTGACTTGAAGGTAACACATTCCCTTCATAAAATGCTACCTTAGGATAGAAGGCCTCGCCTGAGAAACAGAATTCGGTTTAACTAGACGGCTGCAGGAGAAAGTCGACGAAGAAAACCGGAAGCGCCACGAGGGGCTGATGGCGGAGATGTTCGAGCACGTTGCTGAGCCCGCTCAGGCTGAACACTTCTTCTGGAAGGCAAGAGAGTGCCTGGAAGCTTACCCGGAGGTTCTATCGCAGTTTGACAAGATATATCTTAACGGCAGGCCAGTGTCGGTGATGATTGGGCAGTTGAATGAGGCCTTCTCCCTTCAGAAGGCCAACTTGGCGGGAAGTAGCAAGATAAGCCAGGCGTGAGCGGCCATAATAGTCTTCTATGATGGGAAATTCAGTGTGTTCCATGCTTTGTTCAGGCAGGCTAGAGTAATGGATGCAAATTGTCCGGCATTCGCAGATTTCCGTCTATTTCTGTGAGCCTTTTCAACAGCGCTACTACCCAATCAAGCCAAATCAATTAAATTAATTAATCAGCTAATTAAAACGAGGCTTTTTTTAGAGTTAATTAGCTAAACTTATAATACTTTTAGTTTAACTATCTTAATTAAACTAATATTATCTAGAAGAATAAAAATCTAGCTTCTAAACTAATTAGAATTTTTAAAAGATTTAATAAAAAAATAAAAAAGTTAACTAAATATTCTTTTTTAGTAGCTTAAGGTTATAACCTTTTAAGTTTTTATACTATAGTTAATAACTTAAGTTAGTTTTAAACTAATATCTTTATAATTCCTTATATAGTAAACTTACTATTAGCTTATTAAATCCTATTATAATATATTTCTAAAAAAAAAAAAAAGTAAGTAGTTAATAATATTAATTTAGTAATACTTTTATATTAATAAGTAGTAAAGTAGGACTAAGTATTTCTTAATAGTATTAGTTTTACTATTAAGAAATACTAAAAGTATTAGAAATATACTTTTTATTATACTACTTAATTAATATATTTTTAGCCTTCTTATTAAAAGTTAAAAAAAGCTTATTTTTAACCTCTTTATTAGTTCTTAAAAATAACTTTTTTTAATATTACTATTAGTATTACTATTACTATTATTATTATTACTATACTTTAAAGTTTTATTTCTATATATTTTTAAACGCTTTTTTTAACCTCTCTCTTATTATTATAATACTTCTACTAATATATAACTAATATATTAATTATTTTATTAGCTATAAAGTAACTCTTTAAAAGATTATTACTTAGATTTAAGCTTTTTTAACTACTAATAATATATTAACTACTAATTTTAATAAGTATATTACTTTTAAAACTTTATTTTATATTATTTAGAAGAAGTAGTACTATATTAATATAGAAATTATCTTAAAGAAAGGTAATTAAAGCTATACTTCTTAGATTAAGAATAAAAGTATTTTTATTTATAAGATCTTCTTAAGTAGTATTAGAAGTATATTTATTACTTATTTACTTTCTATTATACTTTTTTATATATTAATAATATATCTAAGTGATATTTATTAGGTTTACTAATATTATAATAAAGCTAGTACTTTTAGAGAGCTATAGAAAACTACTATTATATTTAGTATTAAGAAGTACTTTAAATCTACTTATTATATCTATAAAGAATACCTTTATATTAAGTATTTATTTAATAATAATTCTAGAGATAATAAGTATCTCCTTAAACATTAATATTTTACTCTTATTATTATACTTTATAGTAGAGTTTCTTAGATTAAAGAGCTAGCTATTAGCTTTTTTATTAATATTAATAACTTTTTCTTAACGTTTAGTAATTAGTATATATAGTACTTACTTAGTTTTTTTAATTATAATATTTATAACTAAGTATATTAGTTAAGGGATTTTTAGAAAGCTTAACTATATTACCTCTATATCTCTAAGAAGGAATAAATTAGAAATAAGATATAGAAAGTATTTATAAAGGTCTATATATTATTTAATTTATAAACTTCCCCTAATTAATATATTATTATTACTATATTTAGCTATTTTATT